TTTAAAAAGAAAAGGAAGATTTATCTATAACAGATTGACTACTTTAACTCTGCTGTTTGAGACTTCTCAGACTTAACTGAGAAGTTATACTGAGTCCCGTCCGTCTAGCTGATCAGAAAAGCATTTTTTAATGCTTCAAAGTAAAATGTAAGTCTTTCCATCCTGAGAGCTGACCTAAGTGAAGCTGTGTTTGACGAGGGATTGGCTGGTGTTGTGCTAGAGCATGACTGTACACATTGAGGTGGATACACCCTCTGAGCATGTATTCACAAGTGCACGTCATGTGAGCGCTTTGGAATTCAGGCAATGTAGGGAAACATTTTCTTCCACCAATAAAAAGTTCTTGTGTTCTTCTACTGCAACTTTCAATTTCGGCGTTTCGACTCCTATCTTCTGTTTTCACACACCAGACAACTGAGTGTGTGAATAAGTTCACTTACCAAAATGTCTCGCTGACTGAGATGTCTGATGCGCCACGTGGTGAAAATGTATGCATCTCTTTCTTTCTTTCTTTCTTTCTTTCTTTCTTTCTTTCTTTCTTTCTTTCTTTTTGTGTCGTTTTGATTATTGTTTTTGTGTCTGTCTGTAAATTATTTGAACACAGATAATCAAGAATGGGATGCTAACTACGGAAGCTACCTCCTCAACTGTAGTGGCTACCAACAGTGATTTGTTCATTTTTTTTTTTTTTTTTTTTTTTTTGCATTCTTGGCTTTACATTGACAGAGGATAGGTGACAAATTAAAGGAAAACTCAAATGCCTGACATCCATGCAGTGGGGTGGATTCGGAGGCTTTGCTGTGCTTTGTTGTTATGTTTAGGTCTGCTTGTCTCTCTGCAAAATAGAACTTTTCCTTGGCGACTAGCTACACAGCTTATCCTGTGGTGACGCATTTCTGTCATCATATGAGCAGTCTCTTCCAGGATGATAATCCCACAGGGCATGAGGGATCATTGAATCGTTAATAATGTTTGTCATGTGTTCACAGTCGCCAGATCTCAGCACCTATGGGAGATTGTAGACTGATAAGTTAGACGGGGCTCTCCGGCACCGTCATCCAAACAGACTTGTAGAATAAATGAATGAATGAATGCCACACCTTACATAGGGCTTAAAGTTGGCCTTTCCTTTAATTTGTCACCTCTGTTTGTACATCGTTTTAGTTCTTTGCAAATTGTGGGAGGAATCTATGTACTGTATACTGTGATTTTTTTTTTTAACCAACCTTAAACTATGAATTTTTTTGGTTTTATGTTTTATAGGTATGAACCTGCAGAATAATACAGATTATATATAAAGTATCTCACTTATTGTCAGTTTGAATTAAATCTTACTAGTTTTACACGTGAGATCTCCCCGAGTTGTTTTTATTCTGTTAAAGTAGAAAAAAAGCTATTTCTTTAAATTTTGAATGAATAAAATTGGATGAACACAATAATTCTTGTACTTTTGTGTTGCTTTTAAGACCATGAAAGTCCTATTCACAAACCAGCATCTGGCAGTATATGAGAGGTAGGGATGGGTATCGTTTAGGTTTTATCCGATACTGGTGCCAAATCGGTACTTTTGAAACGGTGCCGGTGCTTAAACGGTGCTCAAACCGGTGCTTAAAGAATGGAGAACACAAACTTTGTCCAAAAACCTCTCATGTTCAGCTGTTTTCCACTTCTTCTTTGGTCATTTTAGCCTTTTTGGCCAGGGTGAAGAGAGTATCTGCCATCAAACAAGAAGACAGCCGCATGTAACTACGACAGTGTTTGCTAGTTCACCTTACATGCATTAATGTAATAACGTCGTTAGCCTACTCAACGTAAATCACACAAGAACAACATTAAGCTACTCACGCAGAGTAGAACGGCTGCTGCTGCCATCAAATACGGCGCATTTCTCGGCTTTAAAAAAAACGCTATGCGTCGCCAGGTGTTTCATGAGATTTGAGGTGTTGCCTCCTTTGACAGTATCACAGTATCAGCTTAAAGCACTTGTTGCTGCTGAGTTTGCATATTTTGCTGTGAAGTACAGCCAGACTTTTAACCGCTTCGCCTTGGACATTTTTAATCTGTAGCTCTGCGCTAACAGAACGTACGTACCTGGCCCCGCCTACTATCCTCGGAAACGTAAAACGATTGGCTAAAAGTGTATCACAGCTCAGGAAAAAAAAGCACCGAAATAAAGCACCGAAATGTGCGCTGCTTTTCGGTCTGGTTACTACCGGTACCCATCCCTAATGAGAGGAAAGGTCATTTGTTTGCTTGCTTGTACCACATTTGAAGTGACTTGAGCCAGTTGCTCTGTCCACATGTTCAGTTGAGGTACAACTGATGAATTAAAGTGAGGAGTTCTCAGTCTTATTACCCAGTATGTGATGGATACACAAAACTTTGTACCATTTCTGCCACTAAATGTAAATTACAGAAACTTAGTTGATCTTCAAGCTAACAATGTGATTAATTACACAATGCTAGTTCTGAGCCAGAGCCTTAAAGCGTATAAAACCAGGACAAGGCTTCTTGGATGGAGAAATGAAGCCAATGTGAAAGTGTCTTCAACCTGCCTGCAGTGTCTCTGAAGGCCACCAGATGGCGATAGTTGTGGTTGCAAAAAGACTGCCGGTCCTGTAGAGGTCTATGGGAAAATTGCTCTCTGTCTTGACCTCTCTGAAGACTTTCTTGCTGAGTTTATGGACTCACTTAACCATTTTGGGTCATGCTGAATGAAATGTAATTCTGTTTTGTAACTCTTCAAGATATTCTATTTCAAAATGGTGGATTATATGTGGTATGAAACCGCACACTCATTGGCTAAAGAGATATCAGTCACTAGTCAGTAGCCAGTGAGTTACTGAGGTTTTAAAGCTAGACCCACCCTTCCTCAGCACATTCATTGTTTTGCAACAAAGGTTAAAGTCAAGATAGTCACATTTATCCTCTATTCTGTCTATAGTTGGACCCACTTTTGCTCTCAGAACCGCCTTAATTCTTCAAGACACAGAAACATTCCTCAGAGATTTTTGGTCCTTACTGGCATGATAGTGTCACAGTTGCTGCTCATCCATGATGCAAGTCTCACATTCGACCAAATCTCAGAGGTGCTGTATTTGTTTTTATTTAATTTATATAACCCTTGGAGGGTTTGAGCGTTGTGACATGACCATGTCCATTCCTTTGCAACCACAGTGTAGCCATCAGAAGATGCTACATTCCCTGAAACTGTCCCCACACTAATACAAAACCAGCCTAAACCACTGATACAAGGCAAGATGGATCCATGCTTTTATCTTGTTAGCACACAATGATCTGAATGTGGCAGTAAAAATAGAGACTCATTAAACCAGGCAGTATTTTTCCAGTCTTTTAAATTGTCCAATTTTGGTGAACCTGGTGTGGTCTTCTGCTGCTGTAGCCTATTCGCTTCAAAGTTTGATGTGCTGTGAATTCAGAGATGTTTTTCTGCATACCTGAATTGCAACAGATGTTTATGTGAATTATTGTTTCCTTTCTGTTAGTTCAAAGCAGTCTGGCCATTCTTCTCTGACCGCATTTTTACCCAGAGAACTGCCACACACTGGATACTTTTTCATTTTCTGTCTATCATCTGTAAAACCTGGAGATGGTTGTATGGAAAAATCCCAGCAGTTCAGCATGTTTTGAAATACGTAGACATACTTAGGCATCTGAACATGGCACCAATGTCAAAACACCTTGCAAAAAACAGAGATGCTCTAAAGCATTTATCAAGTATGTTCCAGGTGACCCTGTGACACGTACAAGGCTCTCTGGATCTTTTGCAGCTGTACGCTGAAAGGGCACGGGAAATATTTACATTCAAGGCATCAAAGGAATAACTGTTGAGTGATCTTACAGGAGCCCACTATGGAGCAAAGCCAGAATGTGCTCTCCTCTACATTTAATCACATCCCGGCTATTCTAGCCCTTCACATAGTTCAGGCACATGCCTTACAGCTCTGGCTTTAAAAAGGCTTTGTTACAATAAAACTAAGCTCTCAGATACTCGTATCAATTGCACCAGACTTCTGAGTATCAGTGGCAGGCTTTGGGGGTTTTCAAAAAATCCTTGCTGCACTATAATGTAATACCACCTACATATACAGTACACTTCTTGATTTCTTAGTTTTTTTTTCATATTTCACATTACTGTGGATGAATTTTGGCCCACTCTTCTCTGTAGAATTGCTTTAATTCAGACACATTGGAGGGTTTTTGAGCATGAACAGCCTGTTTAAGGTCATGCAAAAACAAGTCTGTTGGATTTAAGTCCAGAGATTGACTAGGCCAATCCAACACCTGCATTCATGCCATGCAGAGGTGGACTTGCTGGTGTGTTTCTAATCATTGCCCTGCTGCATAAGTCAAGTACTCTTTACCTCCGGATGTTCTCCTTTACTGGTAGAGAGCAGAATTCATGGTTTCATCAACTATGGCAATTTGTCCAGGTCCTGAAGCAGCGAAGCAGCCCCAGAACATCATACTACCACCACCATGTTTTACTGTTGATGTTCTTTCTATGAAGTTTTAATGCAAGATGTAACGGGACTCAAACTTTCCATAAAGTTCAGCTTTTGTCTCATCAGTCCACAGAATATTTCCCCAAAAGTCTTGGGGATCAACAAGAGGTCTTTTGGCAAATTTAAGATGAGTCTTTGTATTCTTTTTGGTCAGCAGTGGTTTTCTCCTTGGAGCTCCCCTATAGATGTGATTTTTTCCCTTTCATATTGTTGAATCAAGAACTCAGACCTTAACTGAGGACTGAGGTCTGTAGTTTATTTTTCTTGTGTGATTAATCATAGTTAATTCATGATTTAACACGGTGGTTGTAAGTCTGTTTTGAATTTACTCAGGTTATTTTTGTCCAATATTGTGTAAACTTTGATGATCTTAAATGTAAATGTGAAAAAAAAAATTAAAAAGTAGAAAGACAGCAAATACATAGTCCTCACAGCTCTGTACACTACATGACTGAAAAAAAAATCACTTAGTAATTCTGTTTTCAAGTAATTTTTATGCACACAAATCAGCCCAGACAAGCAGCAAATCAGAAAGTAGTTTCCTAAATATTGATACTATTTACTAAACACTGTTATCTCTGTTATCAATACCAAGAACTGGACTGAAATAAAGATCATTGTTTGGGATAATTAATATTAAATACTTATAGCAAAATGAAAATAAAGGAACAGCAAATTCAGTGAGCCCCATTCACTTCTGTCATCCAGTGGTTTACATGACACTAATATAACAGTGAGGATAACATGATGTGAGATGACTGCAGGAGAGGAAAGCAGCACATAAACATAAAAAGGATGTGGAGCTGAACTCTGAGATGCCATCTTCTCTTCAGTTGGCTTCTTGAATTTTTTCCTTCTTGGGCTCCTTCTTATCTTCTCTAGTAATTTGAGCTGCAAGGCAGGGGGGATTTTTATTCAGTAAAAACAAAACAAAAAATTACTTAATCTGTTAGGTGCTGAGGAGGTAACATTAATGTCTGTAGTGTGTTTTTACTGTTTTATTGGTTTTTAAAAAATGCTGAAAGTTCACTGAAAGTCACACCTCCACATAACTGAGGAGAGTTGCACAGCTTGGCGATGATTGTCTGTAGATTCAATTAATAATTATTGTTGAATTAAAAATAAATGAATACAGCTGAACTGTTTAAACATTCTCAGTGGACATTTAAAACCTCATAAATGTGGAGACTGTAATAAAGTCCATAATTCTCTGTCAAATCCCTCCTAAGAACTTATCATATGATCATCATATTACAGGTTATTTTGGAGCTTGACAGGGTAAATTATGACAATTAAAAATGCCAACTTTTACTCTGTGCAAATGTGATTTTATTTTTATGTTTGCAGTTATGACAGAAATTGCAAATCAGTTTTTAACAGGATTATTTTTCTGCAGCACAATTTAGAGCTCTATAATTTCCCAATAATCCCCAAGACATTATCTCAGAAAGAACTTGATAAAATGTTAGTATTTAACAGAAAAAACAGAAAAGGCTCGGCGGGTTTAATTCATAATTTAAATGAATTGTTAGTTGGACTCAAAGGACTTCAGCAGAAACTTGTTTATCTCTTAGTAAGTGTGCAGCCTGAGAGCCAATTCAGGATGTGGGGAAATATCAAACTGAATGGGTTTCTTTATCTTTCTTTGTTAATGAATGTCCAATTTTACTCATGGAATAAATACATAAATACAAGACTGTTGTGTCGAAGATTTTCTGGGGTGTGTGGTCAGTTAGTATTTTCCAAGAAACCATTTCACATCAAATGTGGATGGTTTTTTTTTTGTATTCTGCTATTAACACTAAAATATATTTATATATTTTTCTTTAATTATTTGATGAGTTCATGTGTGCGTGAATGTTTTTCTTTAAGAACAAACAAGGGAGGTGGAAGGGGGTGTTAAAGGAGGATGCTGGAGAAAAAGTGCAGTCTAAGTGGGGCATGCAAAAGAGGACACATGCATTTCATGAACTACTTACGGCGAACCTCCAGTTTACACTCCACTGTGTCTTCACCGCTGTCGTTGACTGCTTTGCACGTATACACCCCCCCATCAAATGGACAGGGCTTACGGATCTCCAGCGTCAGGACACCTTGCTTACTGATCATCCTGTACTTGGCTTCATTTGAGATGTCCATTTTGTTTTTGTACCATGTTACTTTGGGCTAATAAGGGAGGAAAAGTAGAATTATGTAAGTATATATTTTTGGGAAAAGATTTTGGAAAGCAGTTTAAATGTTGATTGAATAACATAATAATAATAAAATTAATACTACTACTACTAATAATAATAATAATAAAGATTTCAGGGTGGTCAAGATTATAATGATTACAGTTTGTTCAGTGACTTCCTCTCCACCACAGCTTCAAAAGTTTCCAGTTTGTAGCCAATCACAGAGCCAGCTTTGCTGATCTGTTCATTCAGCGTGCTGGAGTCTTGCTCATAGGGGGTCATCTGATGGTGGGGTTTTCTCTGTACTAGTTTAGGATTTGTAAAGTGCTTATTTATTTGCTTATTTATTTGCATTCCTGAAGTTTTTCTGATAGAGTTATTCT